AAAAAAATGTTTTTGCAAATTTGTTATAAACTGTCAGATCCCGATCCAGTGTTTGTACGTGTCAGTGATAGTTTAGGAGAGAGAGGAACTGTTTTTAGGTAAGACTTCTAAAGCATTTTGGCCAGATGTACTCCACGCAGCATTCAGATGTGGAAAATTATGGAGGTCAAAAACTGTGAAGAAAAGGTTAAGGTGGCCAAACACAGTTTTCGCACGCGCTTTTGCTGATGCAATTCAGCAAGTGCACAAGGATTGCAAAAAACAAACATTTCATCAATAGAGCGATCATTTAATTTACTCAACACTCACACTATCTGTGCTATTTTTCTCTATAATTGAACGCAGTTTATTGATGGCTTTAGTCTTTTGTTACAAAGATGTGTTAGAAAAGGTAACAATGCAAAGAACCCAGCAATTCTCAACATTTTCTTTGTTACTGAAAGTACCCAGTTAAATGCAGCGCATGCGTAGTAAGTCAAAAAATTGCGATTGAATGAAAAATTGCACCCTCAGAAATATGCCTATTTCTCGAGAACCACTCATTAGAATTACACGAAATTTTGCATGAAAATACTTTAGGAAATAAGTAACTGGAGTATCGAAAATAATTGAACTTTAACAAGGGAAATTCTAGATATTCCAGTGAACCTTCAACAAGGGATAATTAAAGATCTCTCTATTAAATTATTAGCAAAATGATGTTAACTTGTGACAATCGTTACAAGCTAGTTGCATGCAAATTACAAAGAAAATCTAAAGACTAGATTTTCTACAAATAAACAAAACCAATTTTAAAGGCCTGTTCATATTTATTCATGTTGCTATGGCAATGGCACATATATCAGCTTAACCATCAAAAAACCAAAGTCTGTGTTGTTAACTAGCTTGCTGCCATTTTTGACGACCGAGGGATCAAGGGTTTTGGAGAAAAACATGAATGAAACACAGGTATCAAAACTGTGTTCAGCCACCTTAAGTACTTAAGGTTTTCAACAAGACAGCAATATCGGTTTTCACTGACAGTCATATCTTTTTGAACGGATTAGAACTTCTCTGTAAGAAAACTTTCCTGACATTGTCAACCACAAAGATGTAGGTAAAACTGTTGACACAGCCAGTAAAATTTTCCTGTAGCCTGAACCTAAATGAAACCCCTGCTATGTGCAGCAGGGTGCAACAACTCCCTTGGCAACTGCAGTTGCCTGTTACAACCAAAAACCCTGATTGAAAAGATGGCAACCATTATAATATTGTCCCTTTCTTTGCAAAATATGTACGAACAGTACAATGCAAGAGTAGGTCTCGCGTCAAATTTAGTACATTTCCTAAAAGTTCAATAGATTTTTGACAGCGACATGTTGTTGTACATATTTAGCCCATGGTTAAATCTCATTTACAAAGTTAAATTAATTTCTAGATTACCGTATACATGGGTGCGATTAAAATAAATGAAGAAATGATAGGAAAAACAGCGCTCCCCTTCAGAAAATGAAACGAGATGAGTTAGGTAAAAGATGTACAGCCTACTTCGGTTTTCAGTCATTTGAAAATCACTTCAATAAAACTTTTATATTAGCACTGCAGTTTGGTAACAGAGGTAGTCAGAGGAACTTTAAGCTTAAGCTTAATTATCACATACATGCTGTTAGCTTACTGCACAAGTGTACGCGAAAAGATAAGGCTTAAACATAAGAAGTTTCTGGTATCAAACACTTGAAAATCAATCAAAATCCGCATCTTTCCGAAACTCAAGGGATTTTGTTTTGTAGAAACTACATGTGCAAATACAAATTGAATCAGTTTTGCAAGATGGAAATATAATCTTCTTCAGACCGGAAAATAATCCGTTCTCTGAGGAGATAAATTACACGTATTAAATGCAAGCATACTATACCTCTTTCACAAGAGCTTCTCTCTCAGCGTGAAAATCACGAAAGGTTGACGACACAAACAATCGAATCGTTTTCCAACCTCGCCGATTCTTCACCGAATCTAGCTTCCATTCCTTGTTTCTGTCGCAGGTCTTCTTGACAATTGCCCACATGTTATCGGGATCTGTAGGTCGTAATGCTGCAACTTCTTCGTAAGAAAGCGAGAGGAACTCGCTGCTGTCGATATATTCGTGTTCCTGCCCCGGATCACTTGTCTTCTCTGTGTTCTGTTGAGTTTCGTTCTGTTCAATTCGTTGCTGTTTCGGTTTGCTGTCCTGTTGGACGGCTTTAGGTTTCGGTTGTGCTTCAGGTTGATGTGCAGTGCTTACAACGGGAGGTCTCGAAGTTCCACAACCCATAGAACTACAAAATGAAACGAACGTGCCGTGTGTGATGTTTTGAACAGCGAGCTACAACAAATTCAACACGATCCTTCCAAGAGGTGTCGAGCAACAGCCATGTTTTGCAGCTACCCCCACGCAAACGTACCTACTTATCATAAATTTTCATTAAATCGGTTCATTGATTCGAGAAAAGGGTATTTGTTTGGCTTTTCAATGTCAGGTTGCTTATAGCAACGACATTGTTTGTCACTTATCGACAACTGAAAGGAGGTCTTAACACAAAAGCTTTATAATTATTTACCTCAGTTGTTTCGCTTGCCGCCATTTTTGCCATTGTTATTTTCTCGACCCAGTCTTCCTCGAGTGTTTTGTTTACCTTACTTAATTCGCTTCCGTGCGAACTAGGGAACTAGGGAACTAGGGTAAGATTATGAGAGGAAGAATCACTATTACAGTCGATTTTGTTTAGGAAACAAAAGGAGACTTTTATATTGTCTTTTAAACGATGCGTCATAAGTCATTGATTTCCACGACAATTACGTACTTCCAGTGATTCTTTACAGGTCTATACAAAACGAGAATCACGGTTCCTTTATAACTTGCTTCTTAATTCTATCAGAGATAAATACCGTTAATCAAGAAAAAGCCACGATGTGGAATACTAGAGAGCGAGAAACGACAGCTAGTACCATTTAACCGGCGTGAGTGTTCTTCCTCTAAACGTGTGATTCGGTATGAAACGTTTTTTAAAACAATTTCTTCTCCATAGCAACTGTTACTTGGTTCTTCTCGCAACGGTTCTCCCGACTGGGGCCACTGCAGTTTTCGGTATGACGGAAAAAGATGTCTATTTATTTTTCATGCAAAACATTAAGTCTAAGAAAACATGTGGAGGAAATAGGGGAGTTCCCACCTCCCAAGACCCGACAGGAAAGAAATGAAGGTACCATTTATTTCCCCAGCCCCGACCACCAGAGCAACTGGATTAATCTCAGAATCACGTACTTTGCATTTTCGTGAATGAGATGAACAGTTTTCTTTCGGCAACAAAATGCTGAGAAAATCGACAGGCCTGATCTTTCAGCAGTCTCCATCATCTGCACAGCACAACATGAAGTCGTTTTCACGATTATGTCCTGAAGAAAGGTTTCACTGCTACAAGAATAAAATCGGGAGGCTCACTGCAAATTAATCTCACTGCAAAATGTGTCTAGTGGTCTCGTTACCGGCATTATTGATATTTAGTATACTACTAACGTTCTATCACTAATGTCGTTCTCTTATTGGTTACACTAGTCACTACTCTGTTGTAGACGGTGAGTACCCTATGGTAGTGCGCGGTTGTTACCAAAATGGCGCCCGACTTTTTCTGTTTTCGGTGTTTCTGTGAAGAGGATTTAGGTAACTTTTTGGACGACAAGTAGATTTGTACTAAACCAATTAGATCATTCGACCCCTTTTTCTATACGTGAGCAAATAATGAGAAGCATATCACCTAGGTGACATGCTTCTGACATAATCTAATTGTTAGATAGACGGAATTCTAGGGATAGACTAATATCTGAGAGTAAATCTCAAATAAAACGGTCTCTCAGGGGTAGGAACTAAAATTACTGATTTTACTTTGTTAGATTTGAGGGGTTCGTTTGGGTTCCCGTTCACGGTTAGCAAAATGTTTGGCTTTTAAGAAGAGGCCACAGTCAAATTATTCTCGAGCATTTTTTGCTTTAGTTTTCGTTCTTCAACGAACGAGGACGAGACTGCGATCGATTGGTCGTTGCAGCTTTCGATTCTTTTCAATGGAAAAATTTGAGGGTCAGTCGGTTTTCTTTTCGCGTTTAATATTTTGTCAGGTATTTTTAGTTTGCTCAGTGACTGCAAGTGATCTATTGGCCCTGCCAAAAAAAAGCAAAACATCTTTGGATTTTAAAAAGAATCAGTTTGTGGTAATGAAATATTCACGACTAAAAATACGCTTTTTTAACGACTTTGGTGGAGTTTACTGAGTCTGGATACCTTTCCAAAGAGAGCGTTAGCATAACTAACTAGGTGACAAAAAAAAACATTTTTCAAAAAATCTTTGCTAATAAAATTAAGATTTTCAAGCTACAGTAAAGAGCGAATCTCTTAAAAGTTTTCAATTACTTTAAATCGTCCTGTTCGCTGTTTTCAGTTTAAGTGGTGGAGTTTGAATATAATAAACGAGTCGGTTATCTTTCATTAGAACACTGACTTGAAAAATGTTATCAGATTATTTCAAAAACCCATGTGAAAGCAAATAAATGAAACGCCTGAACTCCAAAAGCTAGTGTCGCCTTAATTACTCGACGGCAACATTTACCAATGTCGATTTACCTATTAGGAGAAAACTGCAGAGGAAAAAACCGTTGCCACATAAACATTTAAAGGTGAAAGGAAACTGAGCTTCTTCCGTTCAAAGTTATGTCGATTTATACTATACCTCAGGATTGACGCATTTTGTAATCCGAAAAAAATCTTTTGCTGCGGTTTCCGTCGGCTATGAAAGTTTTGCGCATAAAAGTAATTAACAATTCTGACAATTTTATTGTATCTCCCTGCAAAGGAGGCTTTATCAGTTCATTTTCTGTGTTATGTATTCTGACGTAAGTTATCCCTGCGATGCATTACATCAAAACTTTGGCAACTATTAAACTTAACCAAATTGTGTACAGCCTGGTTTCTGAGTTCGATTAACGGAACACTAAAGTCGACCGAAAAACGGTTGAAACGATTTTCGCTTTAGCGTTTACTTTTATAATGAAATCCCTCCTAAATCGAACAACGTCGAACTACTTTCGAACAATTTGGTTTTAGATTAGCCTAGGGAGGGCCATTATGTAAACTACTGAGTCATCAGTAATCAATGTTACCCTCGTAAAATAAAGTGTTATCGTTATCATTATCATTATCATTATCATTATTATTATTATTAATTTATTTTTATTTTATTTGTTGAACTTAATTTTTCACTGTTTTCGTACACGCAGTCTTCTTTCTGATCAGTCATATGATCAGTCTTTTCCCTGTTACTGTAGTTGTAATGTTATATTACTCATCGTCTTGTGTTGTGTTGCTTAGCTGGTCTCGAGCTTTGAATACGAAGACGAGTCGACTGGGCCAACGTAGTTCCTTTTGTTTTTACATAAGTTTAAAGACCTGTTGATGCTTTATTAGGAAGAGTAGAACGGAATTCAGGCTAGAGATCAACAAGTTGATCCCTCATTTCAAAGCCCCGGCCGGTGGTCATATTCTCCACGCAGGACTCCTATTATCACATCATAACATTTCGCAACCACAAATATGTTAACTTTGTTGTTCAAGGCAGACCACACTGAGGCAGCACTTTGTAAAGTTCTTCGCATGGGGTACAGAGCGCCTATTTCAACAAACCAAGGGCCAAGTCCGCCATCTGTGTTTACCTCACTATTTGACACTTTCAATAGCTTGTTCAGTCTTATAATATTAAAGCATTTTGTTGAAGTTACCCATTCCTCCACCATACCCATTGTTAGCATAAATATACCAGAGTTCTATCACGAATGTTGTTCTCTTATTGGCTACGCTACCCACTATTTATTCTAGTGTGTTAACAAAATGGCGGCAGCTTCTTTGCGTTTTTCGAAGTGTGTTTGAAGAGGAGTTCGATGAGGCTTTGAACGACTAGTGAATTTATACTAAAACAGTCAGATAATTAGCACCCGATTTCTATGCGTGATAGAAATCTAGAGCTCTTAATCTAGTTGTTTAATATAACTGGACCGAGTACTTAACGAAAGAAGCGACTTGCTTTTATAAAATAACAGGGACCCCTATCAGGCCTAGCCTGAATGAGCCCTAAATTCAATGTAATCACAAATTGGTCATATCGACGTTCGACATCCATTTTTCCCTTAAGCAAGCAACGAATTGCAATAGTCTTGTTTTTTATTAGGCAAGTTTTACAAGTGACTCTCAGTGACAAGTTTTTCCATCAAGCAAGAAATTGGTACCATGGGTAAGAGCAAGAGAAAATGGTGGAAAGAGATGTTTATCTGCTAGACTCCTAGCTACATTTGAAAGTTGAAATCTCTTGAAGCGTTGCATTTTCAGTGGCACGTTTATGTCATCAAAGCTTAAATTACATGACTTTCTTTAAAACTTTTTAAGTGTTATCTTCTCTGTGAAATATTTTTGACCCAAAGGAGTCTACTTGGGAAGCTACGTTCTTGTTAGTTTTATTATTGTTTTATAACCCAATCAAAAAACATGTTAGTCTTACAGGGGGTGATGTCAAAGAAACTCGAGCGTAGTTGTTCGGTAAAAGCTAATAGAAGTAGCTAGAAGTGGGAAAGTGGGAAAATATTTTTGAATACCATAATCACCGTTTGGCAACGGCAAGAATTGTTTTACTTGTTGAGCGCAGTTTTCAACGGCGAAACCAAAAATGACAAAGAAATAAGGCAAACTCTTTTCTCTGGTTTTAAGTCTTGCTCGGCTTTGTGATCTCCTCAAAACAAAACTTGAGCAACATGCAAACATTTGTTTTTTTCAGCCAGTGAGCAGTAAATTCCAAGCCAACCGTGACTTGGTTTAGAACAGGTTACATGTTTTCACTCTTAGTTTTGATATCGGTTCAATTTATTATTTCTTGCTGGCCCGATGTATGCTTTGTTTTTCGTTGTGATCAGGAAATCAGTAACCCAACTGTTTGCCTTTTCTTGGCCATGATTCGGTCCAGTGATGACAAATTCTGAGCCCGCAGATTTCGTCAAGCAGTTTATTAGAATGACAACTTTCGGAGTATTCTCGAGTGCTCGCGACAGTACTCGCTATTGTTTGATATCCGAAGCTAATCTCGTTCCCAGATCTTTTGTGGACGAAGCCGAAGGCGAGATCTGGCAAAGTAAGAAAATTTCTTTTTCTTGATTGGCTGCTGAATTTGACTCCTCTCCAATCCCTTCTTTGAACATTTACGCGGTTTTCCGCGGCAAACTTGAATGTGTCAAATGTTACAAATATGGCGCAGTCAGGTGAATGTGCAACATTTGACAAAAACACAACAAATACCAACCAGAGGTTTGCGATTGCACCGCAGCTCTCAGAGCCTCTAGCTGTTTAGTTTTTAACTTTAACGCAGGCGTTCCCCGTTCAGTTAAGGAAAACTTCAATGCGCGGTCAAATTCAGTATTTGACACGTACGCCATGTCCAGGGGCAACTTCCACAGCGACGAGCAAGGATGCTGCTTACAATATTTGCTAGCTAACTTTAACCTACAAAACAAACTCACAACTAACTTAATTCTCTGCCTGACCCTAAGCTAACCTAAAAATACTGCAACGTGGCTTAACCTATAAATTCTACACGCTTGAGTCAGTCTTCTGAGTCCTTCTCTTCCGCCATTTTGGGAATTTATTTTGGGAATTTATTTTGGGCATGCGCACTTGCCTCGCCTGTCACACTCCTGACACGTGGTACAAATCGGCTTTGGCCAGCTCTCCCTTCGGCTTCGTCCACAAGAGATCTGGGAACGAGATTAATCCGAAGCTTTTTACGAATACTTCACCGAAGATTTGACGATTTCCGATGTGAGAACAAACGCTCAGAATAATTTATCAATTATTGATATTAAAAGTAGACTTGCTAAAGTATTTTTCCTTTTTTTCAAGCCCCGAATTTTACTGTTTTCTGTTCTCTTGTCAGACTAAACTGAAACTGGATGTAAAATCAACCAGCACCTAAAAACTGATCGTCATCCAGCCTTTTTCAACTACGAGTACAAATTTATTCAAGCAGTTCACATGAAATGAAACGAGCCGGCTAAAGTAGGCTAACGTAACACTCCCGCGTAACATTATCTTGAATTCTCACAACTCAGAGTATAAGAAATGTACCCAGACCAGAGGGAAGAACTTGTGTGTCGATGTCAGGACTCGAGGAGATAAAGATGCAATATTGACACAATTATGAATAACAGTATATAATTATTAAGGTCTCAAAAAACCAGCTGAATGAATTTTCGACGGTTATCGTTAATTAATCATGAAAGCTGGTTAACAGCTTGCTAAGGCTTAGGACTTCATTAAAATAACACAGGCATTTTATGTGAAAAAAGTCGAAAACACGGCTGTCTCATATTGCATATTATTACGGCGCCTGTTTTTCTCCGGTAGAGTCTGCGAAGTTGTTTTCTGTCAGATCTTGAATTCATTCTCATTTTCTGGGTTTTGTTTCCCGCATGTACATTCCGCTATAAAGTATTAGGTACCTTACTTCTTTAGTACACAAATATATTAAATTTAAGGCTATGTTTAACTAAGGCCGTAACATTTCCGCCGTGGATAAGTTTCCACATTGTCCGCGCTCTCACAGGGTTCAGTTGACCTGCACCTCTTCAAGAGCTCTATTTTTATTCGTTCTTTTTAATTTGCACCTCTTTTGCTCTTAGGCCTGGGGGTATTGTTTGCGTTGTCTACCTATTGTTTCGTTTGACCAGTAATAAAGAACCTTGTAAACGGTGCAAGTCTCCCCACAGGGCCTTGGGAAAAAATCCTTGCTTTGAAAAATTGAGATCAATTATATCTCTGATGGCAAGGTCGACGTTGGAGAGTTGTTTCTTAGACGTCTCGCTAGAGTGCTGTGGAAGGAACAGTTTGAGTTTCAGTTGTTTTGATCTGCTTCACAAAACAAGACAGGACTCGAAGTCGTCGATGAGATCATTCCGTCCGCGATGATACGTAACGCTCGTTGAAATTCATCATTGTCCAGCGTTGTTCAAAGAACAGCGAGATACTGTGCAAATGAATGCTGGCTGAAACTGTATGAATGCATCCAACTGTGTGCTGATTGTGGCCGACAGCCTCGGCATGTATGAGGGAATGACAACGGCCTTTGGTCCAACCACCAACAAATCTGCACCACTCAAATCATCCAATGGAGAACTTGGGTATCACCGAGTGTGGTTGGCCAATGAAGAGGCGGGCTGATCGCTAACCGTTTGGGAGATACCATTATAATACTGTCTCCATTTTGTTTGGTCATCAGTAATTCAACGCTTTTGTAATACCATCGGAAGAAGAGGTACTGAAATCATCCATTCGAATCGTCCACTGGAGAACTTGAGTATCACCAAGAGTGCTTAGCAAATGAAGAGGCGGGCTGAATGCTACTCTTTTGGGGATATCCAATAGAAATACTGTCTCCATTTTGTTTGGTCATTAGTAATTCAACGCTTTTGCAATACCATCAGAAGAAGATGAGTGTACTGAAATCGTCCACTCAAATCGTCCACCGGAGAACTTGAGTATCACCGAGAGTGATTAGCAAATGAAGAGGTAAGGCTGAATACTACTCTTTTGGGGAGATGCAATAAAAATACTGTCTCTATTTTGCTTGGCCACCAATAATTTCAGTATTTTGTATTACCATAACACGAGGATGAGTGTACTGAACGTTTCAGGTAAAGCTGTCAAAGATAATCTTGCAACTCGCCAAGTTAGAACCACTTTTTTTTTCTCGTCATATAATGCACTGCTTTCAAATGTCTCTACTGTACGCACTTTCTCGTCCAGCTAAGGAGCTATGCTAAAAAGTCCAGCTAAGAAGTCCAGCTAATAAGCAATTGAATTTATACGTGAAACTGAGTGACATCGAATGTATTTTTCTCAATGTGTTTCAAAACGAGTTCTTTTCTTTTCCATAGCTCCAAAGATGCCAACAGGAAGACTAAGTCAATAGCTCGCAATGAAGTTTATAGTTTTAACTTGTCTCATGCTAACGCTTTCGTGTAGTCAAATTATACATATNAAAAAACCGTTGCCACATAAACATTTAAAGGTGAAAGGAAACTGAGCTTCTTCCGTTCAAAGTTATGTCGATTTATACTATACCTCAGGATTGACGCATTTTGTAATCCGAAAAAAATCTTTTGCTGCGGTTTCCGTCGGCTATGAAAGTTTTGCGCATAAAAGTAATTAACAATTCTGACAATTTTATTGTATCTCCCTGCAAAGGAGGCTTTATCAGTTCATTTTCTGTGTTATGTATTCTGACGTAAGTTATCCCTGCGATGCATTACATCAAAACTTTGGCAACTATTAAACTTAACCAAATTGTGTACAGCCTGGTTTCTGAGTTCGATTAACGGAACACTAAAGTCGACCGAAAAACGGTTGAAACGATTTTCGCTTTAGCGTTTACTTTTATAATGAAATCCCTCCTAAATCGAACAACGTCGAACTACTTTCGAACAATTTGGTTTTAGATTAGCCTAGGGAGGGCCATTATGTAAACTACTGAGTCATCAGTAATCAATGTTACCCTCGTAAAATAAAGTGTTATCGTTATCATTATCATTATCATTATCATTATCATTATTATTATTATTAATTTATTTTTATTTTATTTGTTGAACTTAATTTTTCACTGTTTTCGTACACGCAGTCTTCTTTCTGATCAGTCATATGATCAGTCTTTTCCCTGTTACTGTAGTTGTAATGTTATATTACTCATCGTCTTGTGTTGTGTTGCTTAGCTGGTCTCGAGCTTTGAATACGAAGACGAGTCGACTGGGCCAACGTAGTTCCTTTTGTTTTTACATAAGTTTAAAGACCTGTTGATGCTTTATTAGGAAGAGTAGAACGGAATTCAGGCTAGAGATCAACAAGTTGATCCCTCATTTCAAAGCCCCGGCCGGTGGTCATATTCTCCACGCAGGACTCCTATTATCACATCATAACATTTCGCAACCACAAATATGTTAACTTTGTTGTTCAAGGCAGACCACACTGAGGCAGCACTTTGTAAAGTTCTTCGCATGGGGTACAGAGCGCCTATTTCAACAAACCAAGGGCCAAGTCCGCCATCTGTGTTTACCTCACTATTTGACACTTTCAATAGCTTGTTCAGTCTTATAATATTAAAGCATTTTGTTGAAGTTACCCATTCCTCCACCATACCCATTGTTAGCATAAATATACCAGAGTTCTATCACGAATGTTGTTCTCTTATTGGCTACGCTACCCACTATTTATTCTAGTGTGTTAACAAAATGGCGGCAGCTTCTTTGCGTTTTTCGAAGTGTGTTTGAAGAGGAGTTCGATGAGGCTTTGAACGACTAGTGAATTTATACTAAAACAGTCAGATAATTAGCACCCGATTTCTATGCGTGATAGAAATCTAGAGCTCTTAATCTAGTTGTTTAATATAACTGGACCGAGTACTTAACGAAAGAAGCGACTTGCTTTTATAAAATAACAGGGACCCCTATCAGGCCTAGCCTGAATGAGCCCTAAATTCAATGTAATCACAAATTGGTCATATCGACGTTCGACATCCATTTTTCCCTTAAGCAAGCAACGAATTGCAATAGTCTTGTTTTTTATTAGGCAAGTTTTACAAGTGACTCTCAGTGACAAGTTTTTCCATCAAGCAAGAAATTGGTACCATGGGTAAGAGCAAGAGAAAATGGTGGAAAGAGATGTTTATCTGCTAGACTCCTAGCTACATTTGAAAGTTGAAATCTCTTGAAGCGTTGCATTTTCAGTGGCACGTTTATGTCATCAAAGCTTAAATTACATGACTTTCTTTAAAACTTTTTAAGTGTTATCTTCTCTGTGAAATATTTTTGACCCAAAGGAGTCTACTTGGGAAGCTACGTTCTTGTTAGTTTTATTATTGTTTTATAACCCAATCAAAAAACATGTTAGTCTTACAGGGGGTGATGTCAAAGAAACTCGAGCGTAGTTGTTCGGTAAAAGCTAATAGAAGTAGCTAGAAGTGGGAAAGTGGGAAAATATTTTTGAATACCATAATCACCGTTTGGCAACGGCAAGAATTGTTTTACTTGTTGAGCGCAGTTTTCAACGGCGAAACCAAAAATGACAAAGAAATAAGGCAAACTCTTTTCTCTGGTTTTAAGTCTTGCTCGGCTTTGTGATCTCCTCAAAACAAAACTTGAGCAACATGCAAACATTTGTTTTTTTCAGCCAGTGAGCAGTAAATTCCAAGCCAACCGTGACTTGGTTTAGAACAGGTTACATGTTTTCACTCTTAGTTTTGATATCGGTTCAATTTATTATTTCTTGCTGGCCCGATGTATGCTTTGTTTTTCGTTGTGATCAGGAAATCAGTAACCCAACTGTTTGCCTTTTCTTGGCCATGATTCGGTCCAGTGATGACAAATTCTGAGCCCGCAGATTTCGTCAAGCAGTTTATTAGAATGACAACTTTCGGAGTATTCTCGAGTGCTCGCGACAGTACTCGCTATTGTTTGATATCCGAAGCTAATCTCGTTCCCAGATCTTTTGTGGACGAAGCCGAAGGCGAGATCTGGCAAAGTAAGAAAATTTCTTTTTCTTGATTGGCTGCTGAATTTGACTCCTCTCCAATCCCTTCTTTGAACATTTACGCGGTTTTCCGCGGCAAACTTGAATGTGTCAAATGTTACAAATATGGCGCAGTCAGGTGAATGTGCAACATTTGACAAAAACACAACAAATACCAACCAGAGGTTTGCGATTGCACCGCAGCTCTCAGAGCCTCTAGCTGTTTAGTTTTTAACTTTAACGCAGGCGTTCCCCGTTCAGTTAAGGAAAACTTCAATGCGCGGTCAAATTCAGTATTTGACACGTACGCCATGTCCAGGGGCAACTTCCACAGCGACGAGCAAGGATGCTGCTTACAATATTTGCTAGCTAACTTTAACCTACAAAACAAACTCACAACTAACTTAATTCTCTGCCTGACCCTAAGCTAACCTAAAAATACTGCAACGTGGCTTAACCTATAAATTCTACACGCTTGAGTCAGTCTTCTGAGTCCTTCTCTTCCGCCATTTTGGGAATTTATTTTGGGAATTTATTTTGGGCATGCGCACTTGCCTCGCCTGTCACACTCCTGACACGTGGTACAAATCGGCTTTGGCCAGCTCTCCCTTCGGCTTCGTCCACAAGAGATCTGGGAACGAGATTAATCCGAAGCTTTTTACGAATACTTCACCGAAGATTTGACGATTTCCGATGTGAGAACAAACGCTCAGAATAATTTATCAATTATTGATATTAAAAGTAGACTTGCTAAAGTATTTTTCCTTTTTTTCAAGCCCCGAATTTTACTGTTTTCTGTTCTCTTGTCAGACTAAACTGAAACTGGATGTAAAATCAACCAGCACCTAAAAACTGATCGTCATCCAGCCTTTTTCAACTATGAGTACAAATTTATTCAAGCAGTTCACATGAAATGAAACGAGCCGGCTAAAGTAGGCTAACGTAACACTCCCGCGTAACATTATCTTGAATTCTCACAACTCAGAGTATAAGAAATGTACCCAGACCAGAGGGAAGAACTTGTGTGTCGATGTCAGGACTCGAGGAGATAAAGATGCAATATTGACACAATTATGAATAACAGTATATAATTATTAAGGTCTCAAAAAACCAGCTGAATGAATTTTCGACGGTTATCGTTAATTAATCATGAAAGCTGGTTAACAGCTTGCTAAGGCTTAGGACTTCATTAAAATAACACAGGCATTTTATGTGAAAAAAGTCGAAAACACGGCTGTCTCATATTGCATATTATTACGGCGCCTGTTTTTCTCCGGTAGAGTCTGCGAAGTTGTTTTCTGTCAGATCTTGAATTCATTCTCATTTTCTGGGTTTTGTTTCCCGCATGTACATTCCGCTATAAAGTATTAGGTACCTTACTTCTTTAGTACACAAATATATTAAATTTAAGGCTATGTTTAACTAAGGCCGTAACATTTCCGCCGTGGATAAGTTTCCACATTGTCCGCGCTCTCACAGGGTTCAGTTGACCTGCACCTCTTCAAGAGCTCTATTTTTATTCGTTCTTTTTAATTTGCACCTCTTTTGCTCTTAGGCCTGGGGGTATTGTTTGCGTTGTCTACCTATTGTTTCGTTTGACCAGTAATAAAGAACCTTGTAAACGGTGCAAGTCTCCCCACAGGGCCTTGGGAAAAAATCCTTGCTTTGAAAAATTGAGATCAATTATATCTCTGATGGCAAGGTCGACGTTGGAGAGTTGTTTCTTAGACGTCTCGCTAGAGTGCTGTGGAAGGAACAGTTTGAGTTTCAGTTGTTTTGATCTGCTTCACAAAACAAGACAGGACTCGAAGTCGTCGATGAGATCATTCCGTCCGCGATGATACGTAACGCTCGTTGAAATTCATCATTGTCCAGCGTTGTTCAAAGAACAGCGAGATACTGTGCAAATGAATGCTGGCTGAAACTGTATGAATGCATCCAACTGTGTGCTGATTGTGGCCGACAGCCTCGGCATGTATGAGGGAATGACAACGGCCTTTGGTCCAACCACCAACAAATCTGCACCACTCAAATCATCCAATGGAGAACTTGGGTATCACCGAGTGTGGTTGGCCAATGAAGAGGCGGGCTGATCGCTAACCGTTTGGGAGATACCATTATAATACTGTCTCCATTTTGTTTGGTCATCAGTAATTCAACGCTTTTGTAATACCATCGGAAGAAGAGGTACTGAAATCATCCATTCGAATCGTCCACTGGAGAACTTGAGTATCACCAAGAGTGCTTAGCAAATGAAGAGGCGGGCTGAATGCTACTCTTTTGGGGATATCCAATAGAAATACTGTCTCCATTTTGCTTGGTCATTAGTAATTCAACGCTTTTGCAATACCATCAGAAGAAGATGAGTGTACTGAAATCGTCCACTCAAATCGTCCACCGGAGAACTTGAGTATCACCGAGAGTGATTAGCAAATGAAGAGGTAAGGCTGAATACTACTCTTTTGGGGAGATGCAATAAAAATACTGTCTCTATTTTGCTTGGCCACCAATAATTTCAGTATTTTGTATTACCATAACACGAGGATGAGTGTACTGAACGTTTCAGGTAAAGCTGTCAAAGATAATCTTGCAACTCGCCAAGTTAGAACCACTTTTTTTTTCTCGTCATATAATGCACTGCTTTCAAATGTCTCTACTGTACGCACTTTCTCGTCCAGCTAAGGAGCTATGCTAAAAAGTCCAGCTAAGAAGTCCAGCTAATAAGCAATTGAATTTATACGTGAAACTGAGTGACATCGAATGTATTTTTCTCAATGTGTTTCAAAACGAGTTCTTTTCTTTTCCATAGCTCCAAAGATGCCAACAGGAAGACTAAGTCAATAGCTCGCAATGAAGTTTATAGTTTTAACTTGTCTCATGCTAACGCTTTCGTGTAGTCAAATTATACATATTATAATTCAAAACATTCCGGACTCAATCTTCAAGAGCTTTTGGCGACAGTTCTTGAATCTTGGCGGGAGGAGTCGGTGTAGGAATCGGAGAGAGGCCGGGTTCTCCATTTTGATGGACACACAGCGTGTTTGTTGAGGAAGCATCTACATATCTTTCCCCTCCCATCTCAGTCCCGTAATACGTGCTGGTGATGTCCATGGAGGGATGGCCTCTAGTGTGGGTTATCGTCGTTTCTCCTGTCTCGTCATCGAGAGAATTCATCTTCACGCGATGAACCAGCTAGTATATTATGAAAAATTCAAATGCATTAATTAAAGAACGTTTTTTATCACAAACATAGGAGAATATTTCAACATTAAATGTTCATCTGAGCATTTTAACTCAGTTAATTTCTTTAACCGTTAAGAAGGTTAAAGAAATTTTCTCGTTAACCCTCTTAAACTCGTCACGAAGACCCTTTTGGTTTGAGGAAGAGAAAGAGAGAGAGTACCGGGCACAACATTAACTCTTCCCATCAGCGACTTCCGTTGGCGTCACGGTGTAGAAATAATTCCAATTTTCCTCTTTTTTAAATATAACCTTTTTCTACATGTAAATGAACTTTTAAGATCTGTTTTATTATCATTACTAGGTATTCTTAGTTTTCATGTTTACTTTACTTTACTTTAATGAAAACCATTATCGGCGACGTGGGATTCCCTGTTTCAAGAGCTCTTATGCATGTTGACATCAGACTAGCTTATATCACCACCAAGCCTCGGTTTGAAAATGCAAATTGTAAATTTCATCGGGAACAACTAGATTTCCAAAGCGGCAAAAATGAAAACAGCCAAGTGAAAACAACGCGAAGAGGTCAGAGGTTTGAGGAAATTTCCTGCAAACGAGCCTTGGTGGTGAATGTAACCATGCATAACACCTGTTGAAACATCTTTGTTACATTACAAGACAGGTTGAACGGTAACAGAGTTACAGTCAAACCAAGTGAAGCGTACTCCTCAAGATTACCTTGACGAATTGATTATTTGAATGTTGAACCCGCTAGAATGCAATAATGAATTGATTATTGGAAAATTGGATTCACTAGTCGTTCCAAGAATACGGCTAATGGGTTTAATGTTCAAAAAAATCAATTTACTATTGATTTTTGAAATGACTAGCGAGTTCAATATTCAAATAGTCAATTCATTATTCCATTCTTGAAACGATTAGCGGGTTAAATATTTAAATAATCAATTCATTAATGTAATCTTAAGGGGTACGCTTCACTTGGTTTGACTGTAATCCCAGATCAGGCTTTGTTGTCCAGGTAACCTCTGTCAAATAATCGTTAGATATGGTATCCAGTCCTCCGGCGGATAATTTTCCACGCGCGTTGCGCACTTGTTTTCGTGGAGGATAGAAATGCATGTGAAGCTGCTTGGGCTTTCCACGTGAGTAAAATGCGCGTAACACGATTGGCTTCTTCTAAACCCATCTGGGATTTCTGATACTAGGAGAGATCTAAAAATAACTCGAGAGTAATTACCTTGGATAAAAGGCCTAGACTAACTCTGCAACCTTTCATGCTCTCTTGTACATTATTATTAGTCTTTGTAAGACCTGCAAAGCCCCTCAAATTCAACCTGATCTTTACCTTGGGTATGAAGATTAGGGATATGGTAGCGATGGCGGGAATTATTATACACACACAGAGCGCAGCATAGAGCTGCTCATACTGTTCAGTATTTAGAATCAGCGCCAAAAATGCACCGATGGTAGACAGTACAACCACGTTGTACACGCAGATGCCGATGACACGTGAATCATTGAGATGCGCGTACACAACGTTTCTTGTCTCATAAGAGAGAAATAGGCCATACAGCAACAGGATTCCCTTGCAGACGTAGATTAGAGCCAACCATACGGTCAGATATTTAGCTGTGCATGTATTCAATGTGGGTATGATGATTATGTTCGGTGTGTCTGGATTTCGCTATAAGAAAAAAACAATGGATGTTACGTTTTTTCTCGTTATTAATTCCTGGCAGAGGTTTATAATCAGTTAGATCTCACATCAGCGTTTCCACCCCTGATAGGAGTCGGCCTATACATCATAGCAGGAGTAGAGAGTTTATTCTAAGCTAATAAATATTACCTGTTTTATAATTTGTACATTAGTAGTTCTTACTAAGCATTATTGTTTTGTTGTAATCACCAGTATAATTATTTCAATTGTCTCCATTTACCTTTTGATAACGCTTAGTTTTTCTTTAATACCTCGGCAAGCTTTCAGTCATTCATTCATTCATTCATTTCGTCAGTCAGTCAGTCAGTCAGTCAGTCAGTCAGTCAGTCAGTCAGTCAGTCAGTCATTCAATCGATCGATCATTCATTCATTCGTGTGAATAATGTAAATAGGATCTAGGAAAGGATCTAGGAAAGGACCCAATAAAAATGGCAATAAGAACACGATTTAATCAAACAAACTAAAATAAAACAATCTTTATCTGTCTGAGAGTTTTCATTGATCTTTCTAACCTCTTCATTAAAATTATGCTGTTCCCATTTCAGCGGATCCTCAACTTCCCAAGCGGTCAACAAAGCCACGTCAATCAAAACAATCCCACCCACCATTGCAAGCATCCACCAATCAGACAATGGGCCCAGCTGTTGAATGACAAAGAATTCACGTGTTAGCACTTGCTAGACAACGAGTTGCCTAGGAAACTAAGGGTGCTACGTCTCAGATGTAAAAAGTAGCCCAATTTCTACATCCTTGTTCCTTTTGGGCTTGTTTTACAACAACAACAACAGCAATAACAACAACAACAACAGCAACAACAGCAACGACAACCTTTATTGCACTCGTTCTTGCAAATTAAAGTGCATTTTGAAAGAAACGAAAATTAAAATTCGACAGAGTGCTGGATCTCGGAGTAACCATAGGGAGTCAGCAGTAGAGCCAGGCAGCCAATTAAGATATTATATAAATAGATGAACGGGAATAAAGGTACATGCAATGCAATGGACCTTTGGGATAAAAACACAAAACAGCTACACGACACACAGAGCATTTGCATAGCCAATTTCATAGATCCACTGACTTAAAACTGAAGATGAATTAACTTAAATTACAAGAAAGTCCTGAAGATAATGCAGCAAAAGAAAATTATAAACATACAACTATAATAACACTGGTGCTTAGTAACTAATAGTTTGAAGATCTTTTCAACCAAGGTTATTTTATTTTTTCAACACAAACATGATTTGATATATGGTAACTTACATTTTTACAACAACTGTCTAATTTCTCGCGCGCTGATTGGCTCATTTTTATCATCAATAAGAGTACAGACGGATAAAATGTTAATTTATGCAAGGTTTCAAATTCAACTTTCAGCTGTCAAACTGTTCACCTTTTTAACCAATGAGATTTTATGGTCTTTTTTAAGAAGCCAATCAAAAAGCGAGAAAAGCTATCGACAACGTTCGCGTCATTTTGAATAAAATTCACTTATCTTTGTTTACGCAAGTTTACGGCGTCTTTTCCCCTCATTTATTCTCGGCATTTGACCATTTTGGGGTCTTGTTATTGTAAAAAACAAATTGACGTCAGTTTAATAAGAGGACAGACGCATAAAAAACTGACCTCAATTTGTTAAATAGCACGTGGAAAAATTCGTTTGTGAGGAATTTGTTCCCAAGTATCTTTACTGCAATACTCACGCGAACTTTAAGACGCTTGTTGGTGCAAATCTTGTAGATTCGCCATGTTTTAATAAACATCCCTCCAAAAGCCAAGGAAAATCCTATGCTGAGAATCCATGCCCGGGCCTAACATTTAAAAGCAAAAACGTGGTATTTAGAATGAAGTAACTCCAGAGAACATCCATAAAAACAACCATGCCGGCTCAGCTGTCGCCCAAAAATTAAATAGTCATTAGAGAACTACTTTTGCGTTTTTAATTCGATGGAGTTCACACTTTGCAGCATGATAGACAATTTAAATCCAAAGAAACATGTTTTTGTGTTGTTGTATTTTCATCTTAATGGTTTTTGGCGGGAAAATGTCGTCATCAAAGTAACGGCAAAATTTTATTTTCACTTTCTGACAAAACTAATGCAAGATTTTAAAAGGATAAATTGAGATAAATTCAAATGTGAAAAAGTTACTTTAAAAAGATTTTTAACTAAAAAAATATGGCATGTTGAAATTTGCCAAATTTGTAAAAATAGTAACAAAAAGGCGGAAAATCCAAAATAAACTCAAATCTTTTGAAAAATTAAGCTTTTTCAATAATTTGGATTTACCTTACAGATAGGAGGCATGGTTGTTTTTGGCACCTCAAAATCACGCAAGCCAAATAAGAACACGGTACTGAGACACAGGATGCAGCCCACCACCACGACGTCATTAAACAGCGGTGCCGACAGCCGGATAAACCTGTTAAATGCGTGGCCATACATGAGTTAGATTTTACACGTCACACAAAACCGCATGCACCGCTGACCAAGAAATGCTACTAAACAACAATCTTCATAATTTATCCATCTCTACTTCCTGAAACTAAGATTAAGCAATTTAGGTTTTAAAAAAACAACACCTTGACAGTGTTTAACTTTACAAGTAATAAATTGATCATGTGATTGATTTGCTGTAAGGGGTTGAGCTGGGATACTCTGGGGTCCTCAAGTGTTGATCATTTTTTGACCTGACCAGATTTTGCCTGTACATTTTAAAATAAATTTTGACTGAAGAAAATGCGTGAGCTTTAGACTGAACAGTAAAAATTTCAGATCTGAAGAGACCATACTGGGACCGCGACCTTTTTTGTATCCTTTCACTGGTCACTTATTCTTATTTCAAGCCGGAGTTTAGCGGAGGAGTTTATGACGCAAATGCCAAAGTACGAAGGCATACCTACAGCACACTTACTTGTACTTCCGGTAGTATCGATTGAACACCAGAAACACGATCCCTAATAGAATACCAATGGATGCTGCGGTTGAGAAGACAACGAACAGTTCCAAGGTAATGATTTGCAATTTCTGTTGTTTTTGCGACCGGTCCAATGGTGTGCGGCCATCTTAGAGTAACACACACACAAAAACAATTAAAATGCTGTTTTTGTTTATGCCCCGTCAGTGTTATGATAATAATAATAATAATAATAATAATAGTGTTATTAATAATAATAATAATAATAACGATGATGATGATGATGATGATGATAATGATAATGATAATAATAAAACAGTGGATAATCCATTAGCACTTGCTGTCATCAGCTGAGTCATGCCGCTTGGTAACCTGCGAGTTCGGTCAATAGTGTGTCTTTTAGTTACCTTCTCTTCACACTCTCAACGTTGTTATTAATATAAAAAAACTTATCTTGGTGAGCCTTATATTGGCCTTGAAAAAGACCCATTTAAATAGTGACAGCTTCTCTGTACCTTTCCATAGAGTGTCCTTGGTGGCGTTAAACAAGTCAAACTTGTCTAGTTTAGTATAATGTTGGCCAATTGGTACTAGCTTCGTTCCACCCTCTGCGACAAGGGACAAAGTGAATAAAGAATTAGTGCATTGTTGCTATCCTGAGGTACGCAACTGCTGCTCATTGAGACATTACTGGTTACAGCGTATTGACCAATAAAAAGCTCCAAAAGGAAAATCATAGATACTGGTAATTAACATGAAACAACATTTACATATCTACATCCCACATAGGCTACCATCACAGTTATCACAGTAAATGCAAAACAAATACATTGATACTTTCAGTGATCAATTCAAAGTCAGTCTATCAAATACGGCTCTAACACAAGGCCAATCTTTTCCGAGTTTAAACATTCTACCAAGAAAGCTATGTACCTTGGAATTGCTTTACTACTATTATTCCTTCCCTCTCCTCATTGCCAGTAAACGAAACTGGACCCTGAAAACACACAAAAAAGACACCGTTATCTATGGTCAATAAATGGGAACTAACCAGCTTATGCATTGCATGCTGCTTCCCCACTACGCACCTTACTCGCTAGTATTGTTCATCAGGTGACAAGGACAATTTTATCAGGTCATCACATAATTAGCCTATAACACCAGAAGTAATGGCCTAGACCTTTAAATTTCCTACAAAGCAAGGATGTTTCTATTCTGGAGCCCTAGCTTTTTAGAATTTACCACCGTTTTTGAAAAAAAGTTGATTCCTTTTTAGTTTTTATGATGATATTTTGTGATTATTAGTTTTTTTTTGAAATTCTAGAATACTTACAATTGTTTTCAAGTATGCTTATTTACANTACCACAGAGCTGCTTTGGCGGTCCACGAGAGCAAAATCTGCGTCACAGGACTGGCTATTTCTAGTCTCTCCTAGGATTTCCGAAACCGGGAGTGATCTAATACCTAAGATGGACTGCGTTAGGCCTGTGTGGGGGATTAGTCTTTAGGGTGAATTATTACCTTCAGTTTGTTAAGCTTTTTTTTGATGTCCTCTTTTATATTTTGGTGTCTCAGCAAACCTGTGTTGATTGCTTCAAATCCGATGACATCTAAATCCGGATGGTTTATAAGATCACTCACTACCTGAAAGTTGATACGAGGAACAATTCGCAATTACTATTCTAAGTGGAGTTTAGTCAGACCATGAAATACAGGTATTTGTTATTCCGCTGCGTTATTTTTTGGACAATATTTGTTTGCTTATTTCAGTGTCCACCATTAGTACAGCAGTGCTTAACACTTTGACACTTAAATAAAGTGATTTATATTTTTATTTATTTTTATATAGTTCCTACTTGGTATGAATTGCTGTTCATCCCGCTCGGTCATTGTTGATCCGTATACCTATCGAACCGAGGTAGGCAATTATCCTGTAATTAAACTTTAAAATGACACAGCGGGCTAATTTAACACTGACCCAATTACAGCAATCTACACAATCAAACTCAGTAGGTTAGTTTCAAAGTTTTAGTTCAAGAGTAGCGAGTGAAGGGAGAGGATGGAGTCGATTATTACATGTAAATGAAATCTAGTATCCGAAGTGAACGATGGGAAACACTATATTCACTCGATGAATGANTGTTAAAATTGTGCCCTAAAATGGCCGCTGAAAGCCCTCTCAGAGGGGCAAAACCAAGATGGTCGCCTTAGCGCTAAAATACCGATCGAATTGAACTGAAAGTTATATTTATGTGAATCACTTATCTAGACCACTCATCTGGGAAAGTTTGAGGAATTTGATTTTTTCTCGTCCAAATGACCATAGTTGATAGTTACAGAGGGCGGCTCTTAAATGTCTTAGCTCAGTAATATACGAAAAGCTGCTCTTTATCAAGACAAAGATATTAAGGGAGTTGTTAAAGACGCAGCAAATTGTTTTAACAGATCTTTTTACAAAATATAACGACAGAATTTCAGAAAGTCTGCCAGACGTTTTCAGTTTGACAGCACAATTACCATGCATGAATCAGACGCATGGTGACACCCCTGCTATAGCTTCAGGCCCCGTCCACACTATTGAGTTTTCGATTATTTCATCAAAAGATTCTCGTCTTCTTTACTGTACCGATTACCGTTTACGAACGTCCACATTAAAAACCTACAACACCACCACCATTTTTTGCCCATGCGCATATCATTTGAATGACGTTAGCGTTATCGAAAGACTCCGTTTTCGCTGTCCACGCTAATACGACAGGGCTCCGTTTTGAAATATTCTCACTCTACTCCCTCTCTGGACAGCGTTTTCAAAGCTAAGCCATGTGTTTGCGATCGTTGTAGGGTGGAAGGTAAGCAAAGAGGACGCATTAGTATGGACGGGGCCTAAGCGCCATGCTTCTAAGGCAATTTGTAGCAAAACTAGACCATTGATTTTTGGTTTCCGCCAATGAACCTAAATACGTCTTCCGGGTTTTGATTTTCGAATGTGCCCCCTCAAAGGTATCAAGGATTTTATTGGACCCGGAAATAATTGTCTTACCTTTCGAGGTAGTTGAATCAAACACTTTGTTCGCAAAAGCAAACTTCTTTGGCTTTATAACTGCATTTCATATTAGCTTCCTTATCTGTAACAAAGAAACGAGGGTCAAGCTCTTTATATTTACGGCATGTATGTATGGTTCAAAATCAATAACGCGTTTGTTCATGAAAACAACAAAGAGCCTTTCATGTTGCAGTGGCAATGCAACCCGATACCTTTCTACACTTTTAACACTTATTATAATAAGTCAGCAAGATATCATATTTGCAGGCTTACGATATGAAAGACACAAATGCAGTATTTACCGTATCCTAAATGGTAGTCATATTTCATCCGTGTCTTGTTCCGATTTGATGTCATTCATAACAAGCCTTAGATCATGAAATATGATATATTATTGCTCGTCTCTAGCCACCTACATATCATTCATATTTCAGTTTCAAGAAAGAGAATCTCCTTTCCAGTTTCGAGTTTAGCTTTTCGCAGTAATTTGTTCCGAAGTCGAATCACAGGTGGTATTTAGCCACTGAAACGTCCGTTTGGTAAACTTCGTCGCGTATAAGAAGCTTGCGTGCCTTCTGAAAGGGACGTTACTTCTTTTGATAACACTAACACGCAAATTAGCGAATAGCTAATTCTATGCATGGACAAACAAGTACCCAGGCTAAAATCATTTGCGAGTTTTGAATATCTGCCATGTCACTTCAGCTGAAAAGAGATTTCTAAAAGCTTTATGTATGACTATTTTTCTAACACATTAACCGATTGATCTGTTAGCATGTAGTTTCTTTTTTTACTTGAATTCCGTGTGCCAAATTTCCTACCTGATGTATATACCAAATCTAGGCTTAGAAAAATGGGGTTTTAATTAATATTTTTGCCTTTTTAACACTCCTGTAAACAAATATAACATTTGAAAGTTTCTACTTCGCTTTGCAAGGCTTCAGAGTCATTTTTAAAATAAAACCCATAGATCACGTGCGTGTTATCTTTCACGTACGGTTTAGGTGCCGTGGAAGTGAAAGATACATCCTTCATACATGTTATAGAGAGCTTCATAAACGACGTTGGAAATAATTAATGTAAAATAAAGAGATAACTGTTAATGAAGATGACGGATATTAAAGGACCAGTCACGTTCTTCGGCGCATGTGCAGGAAATTGATCTTTTGAGGGACAGATACTCCCCCTTTTTCGAGTTGGATTTGGCAAAGAAAATCCTTTACCAACAATCTTGTGGAAATAGCGAATGCTATGGTAGAGGCATTCGAGAAATTATTTGCCATTTGTGGAGGACTGTCTCAGCATACTTAGTATGTTTGTGTGAAGATCCTAGAAACATTTGATGTCCTCAAGAGAAAGTATACCAAGCGGCTTGCTCTATACAAAAGCCGGGTCAAAGGCGGCACAATGAGATTTTCAAAGCAGCACGTGAAAGTCGAAAATGGCTCGCGTGGCGAGCGGTAATGAGTCGGACGACTGTATTGGTTAAAAACTTCCACTACACCTCCCAAAATCCTTTAAATGAATTGTATACCCGTTGAGGGAAATGCATGGTAATCGCTATATATTTAGCACATCGAAATATTTTTTTGTATCGCTTTTATTTGTCTCGAAAAGAATATTTTATTGCACAAAACTTTGGGTCTGTTTTATGCTTAGGCAATTTTATCATCTCTTATTGTTTTTTCACAAAATTTTGTCGCTGTGAATTTCTAATGTGTAGAAACCGCAGCGACGAAAACATGCTCGATATATATTATATTTCGCATGTAGATACAAAAATAAAGAGAAAAATTTACATTTACTGAGAATGATTCTTAAGCCAGGGTGAACATCGAAACCTTTGTGGTACTGTAGTTGCGAAGAAACTTTCCATAGTGGTACGAGCCGGTCAGATCCTTTTGCAAACTTTCGTGATCATATATGCGCTCGGGGGCTGTGCTGCAGATGTTCAGCCCCCGCAAAAGCTAACGTTGCAAATGCATATATTTGTCTCTAAACTATAAACTTCTTTATTCTCAAGCCAGAATTTACCAACGAACTAACGAAAAGTTAGGCTTTGTATGAAAAAAATCCACAGATATTATTGTTATCCACCAGGTTTGGTGAATACAATCTTTTTCAAGACTTGTTCAAGATACGTGCTTATCCTTTTGTTTTCCTTTTAAAGTGTTTGTGTGCAAAATACGTTTAAGAAGGCCATCAAAAATTGAAATCTTGCAACTAAATTGCGTTGCCTCTTTCTTTTTCTGAATTATTGTAGAAAATTGAGTGATAAGTTATTGACTTACAGAGAGGGGAATAATACTGCTGGTGAAGGAAACCCACTTTACCATTAAATTTGTGTCAATCATTTTTAAGGGTATCACGCAAACTGGTAATGGATTGATCGCCAGATGTTATCACTTTCCACTTCACTAGATCCGAAAAATTATTTTGAGTTGCATTCCCGCCTCAAGTCGCCAAAAACTTTTCTACAAAGACTTGCGGAAGCGGTTTAACATGGAGTTAAAACTCTTACAAGGCAAAATATAACATTAGCACCAGGAGCAACTAGCAAAATCACGCATTGCGCTAACACAGGTGCCCGCAGGAAGAAGAAAAAGAGGCCTTCCACATAAAACATGGAAGACGACGATAGCCACTGAGTCTGGGATGTTCTCCCGAGATAGCAGGTGTTAGGGCGCGGAGCCCAGCCAATTCAAATGACCATGATGATAATGACAATTTAGTTGATACAAACAAACCTACTACAAGATCTTTGTCTCAGTATTGAATATCCTTTTTGTCGCTTTACGACTCCAAGTTACAGTATTTTGTTGTGTAGAATGGCAATCCTTCAAATCGCAGCCTGATATGAAGTCATTTAACTGAACTCGTGAAAATGCTAAAAGGTTTGACTGAATTCGTGAAATTGACGGTAACTGATTATGATAAGTCTTATAAACCTTCCCTTGTGGGAGTCTTAGAGACGCCGTGAGAAGATTGTAATTGCCTCTCGAAAGCGACTTTGCATCCTCGTCCACATACAAGCCATTGGCTACATTTAATTGACACAATCGAGTCTGTACGTGTTTTGTGGTGTAACATTGGTGATTTTCGGCTTTGTTTAGGCCACTTGGACAATATCATCGATTTGTGTGAGTTTTTGGTCGATTTGACATTGCCCCGTGATGCGTATTTCTTTCCTGCGTCCTTTTTGTAAATATTTAAACTAACCAGTTTTGAGAGGAAAACTTCGAGTTTGAGGAAACATCTGTCAAGGTTTATAAAAATATCCTAATCAATATGTTAAGCACTCAACTTAGGCGACATTTTAGGGGGAGGTACACCGGACTCACAACAGATATTTAAATGGAGGAGGAAAAAAAACACCCCAGCATAATTTGCATTGGCAACTTTAAAAATTGTATGCAAGTTTTCAAATTCAATAAACTGATGTTTTCTCTGTTTTCTAAGTCTAGGGGAAGAGTAGGACCATGTAATATTTATATAGGCGACAATGAAATACCTTCGTCAATGGCCTTAAAATCTAGAAATTTTCTTGGTGGTTACAGCAAAATCGAATTGTGCAGCTGTATTGTTTTCTTGTAAAAAGATAAAAACATACCGAGCGGACTCAGTTTGCTCACTAACCTGGTATAATATGATACGTAGTGTTAACGTCTGCTTTCACCTAGTCGTGTATTCATCTGAGTTTAACTTCTCTTTTATCTGAAAAATGAACGAAGGGAACATACTGTTAGATGCTTTTTTTTCTAAGTAAACGCAATCGGAAATGACTTTCAGCTCATGATTTCTACCTTACTCCAATCGTGGGCGAGTGCCATCAATTTTCTGAGTAAACGACGAACAGAAGTAACTCGATAGCAATATGAATTTTTCTAGTTTGCATGATTGCAACAGACAAGGTTAAACACAGCGACAAACGGACGTGTTTAACTGAGGAACCAATTGTTTCCGATATTAATTATTAAAACAAAGAAATAAAACAAACGGCAGCGACCCGAAAACGGTCGGTTAACAAGCAACGCGGCAAATACCAGACAACATTGTCAGGCTAAGGAAGAGAAAGCAGCAGGCGTTTGATGAAATATGCAAATTACTTTACATTGAAGGAGAGAAGTGAACAACGGCTTGTATCTATGATACGAATAAATCTTAAGAGCAATGACACATTGAAATAAATTAATTTGATATCGAATTTTCTTCAGTTAAAGTGTTCAAAAGTGAAGTTACCTCAATAAATTTTTTAAAATGTCCCAAATAGTATGTTTATGGTCTAAAGACGTACGAAGGGAAAAGTGACTTCATTTCGCTCCAGTATACATTATCACTGATAACCATTTTCCCCACTTGTTAACAAAAATGCTGCGATCCACAAACTGTAAGAATGTTTTAAGAATTATAAATTGTTTTTTGTTTTCAATCGAAAATCTTTCTTAATACAGGGATAAATGCAGAGGAAGTACAAGAAATCCCTAAATCAATAACCATCACTTGTCGACTAACAATACAATTTAAGGAGGAGTCAAAACGTTACTACGTCGAGCGATAAGACAGAAGTGCATACAAGAAATTTCTTTGGGCAGTTAAGAGGGTCCCCTATACTTTTTCCGTGACGAGTGAATAAGCATTTTTTGCTCTGCGTGAAGCGTGAATGAGGATTTATTTTTTCCGTGATTCGTGAATCTATATTTTTCCGTCCGGGAAACTGGTTTTCGATGTTTTCACGATTCGTGAATTATGCATTTACTTACGCGTGATTTGTGAACCAACGATATTTGCGGGGATAATTTTCCACTTCTTTTGGAGATTTTAGCGTCATTAAAGNGAAACGTGATTGCTTGCTTTTTTCTGTGAACGTGAAGCTGTTTTTCGAATTTTACGTGATGCGTGAAGAGGCCAATTACATATGCGTGAAATTGTTTTCAGAAGAGGTATAGGGGACCCTCAGTTAATAATTTTTTTACGCGACCACAAATAATACTTTTAGTCTTGGAAACGTTTATCACCATGGGATACGAAATCGACTCAGTATCCTTGGATAACTTTGCAGCTGTCTCCAGTTGACACCCTTCAAATGTTCTTTGTAAAACTCTACCCATCATTCTGAGAGTTACTTATGGAGCTTAGGACCATTTCTCATTTTCAGTACACTTCTCCCTTTCGGTACGTCGCGAAAATGTTTCATCTACAGTACAGTACAGTACTGCACAGCACAACACAGCACAGCACAGCACAGCACAGCACATTACAGCACAGCACAGCACAGCACAGCACAGCACAGCGCAGCGCAGTACAGTGCAGTGCACTACACTACACTACAGCCACAATACCTATATTTATGATAATAATAATATTGTTTACAGTTATCGGTAACTAAAGGTAATGAACCATTATTTTTCTTCATATCTGTTTATTATATATGAGACACAAATAAAGACAGAATTTAGAGATTAAATTTAAAAAGAAAATACATAATTACATATCTTTTAAAAAGTTACCTAGGGTTGTTGTAAATCCATCTAATTATTTTTAACATTAGACATCCTTGCGCTGATTGGTTCGCTAATAGCCTTTTCTTTTATGTAAGTTGCTGTTTGTAGTTTCTTCCAAATTAATAAAGGTACCTTAACTGATTTGAAGTGTCTAATGAAAATAAAGTTAAAATACAGTAACTAAAGTAAGGCTGGGAACAACGTCACTGTACGTTTTCTATTGGAAAATTTCGGAGAGAAACAGAGCTTCGAAAAAGGCGGTGGCGATTTCCCTCTGGGCCGTTGCCAGTAGAAATTCGACGTGCTTCATGTACCACTTTACAGCGTGAGCACCTGTCCCATGCGTTTCGGCCTTCAGGGCCTCGCGCTTCGACGATTTCCTTCGCAAAACTTCAAATGGATAGCGTCTTGTATTTCACGGAAATTTTCAACCAACTTTTCCGGAATTTTTGGAAAGGTTTACAACTCTTGTGCTATGGACCTCTTCGACGATGTCACGCAATATCAACAGTTCTTCGCATTTTTTATATAAAACAATAATGGTCAAAAATAGCAGCCGCATAACTTAATTTTATAACGCCGAATTCAGTAAATATGCAATGTTTCATAAAAATCTGTTGCAAAATCAGGAAGTAATAGGACTGCAAACTTGCCAATTTTTATAAAGAAATGTATGTCGGGGGGTAAGCGTTTGCATATTTTGTACTTGAATGAAAAAATCAGAAAACATGACATCATCGAATTGGTCCATCGGCTCCTTCGTGACCATCCTTTTTTATTTTCGGTGTATTATTTCTTCTTTGGCGCTTTTCTGCTTTTAAGATTTCCTTCAATTTGAAAACAACTTTGTAAATCAGCAAAATGACTCACAACATCCTGACATGACTACGTTGAAGGAAGTCATAATTGCACAACATTTCAAAGGCTTGCCGTATATAAAGCGCACGAACTCAGTCTCAGCCTTTGTGCCCTTGAAAGCGAAAACGTATAAGCCAAGCGCTAAAAGCTATTCAGTAAGAATCTGGTGTTTGAAATATCTCAGCTAATTAATTTCACAACCAATGAACGATCATATAAATGCCATACAAAGCGTAGACGTCAGAAGCCTTATCACGGTTTTGGAAGCCATCTTGACGGGTACATATAAAACACGCGTCAGAAATTACAGTGTTTGTACGGGAATCCGATGGCAAACAATTTTCTTAGAAAAAGTATTGTAAACAATTTATGAATAGCAAAGGTAAGATTGCATTAAACAACTCTGAGTGCCGTAGCTGCGCTAGAAAGCGTTTCTAATTTTCCATACATTTGTCGATTATTTTTTTCTTTAGAAGTTCGTGGAGTAATGTATAAGAAATTAAAAACGCTACTGGCCTTTTTCTAGCTCAGCTACACCCTGAAGTGCAGTTAATGTAATACTGTCTTGTATCTTAACTCTGCTATTCATAAATTGTTCAGAATTCGATTTTTAACGAAATTAATTGCCATCGGTTCCTATACAAACACTGTAATTTTTGATGTGTGCAGCCTGCCCACCAAGGAGGCTTCCAAAATCTTGATAGGGTCTATTCTTTAGAACTATGTCCATGTTGTAACATAGCACTCGCAAGCTGTTTCAGTTACGAATGATAAATGCGATTTTTATCAAATCAATATTCATTATTATCCTCCCTAATATGTAAAAATCATGAAATTTTCATTCGCGGCGAAACCTATGCAAAACTGTAAGAATGAAAAACATACTCCGATTTTCATGGAAATAACTCACACTTGATCAAGATTAGCTCCAGCTTTTGAAAAGCGATACCTGAATTATAATAGAAATGTAATGAACAAAACCACGTTTGTAATAATCGTTTACAAAAGCCGACTTCAACACGTATTTTAAGTTCTGAGATACAAGGAAACGAGCCCCCTCTTTTCGTGAATCGGACAGTTTGAGTTTGTGAGTAATTCCAGATCTAGCATGGTATATTCAACCAAAAACACCTAACATTTAAAGTTACACTTCGCTAAAACTAAGTAAATATTATGTGCTAGAAACTTACGCATGACGAGGAACAAATCCGATCACGATTCGATAAAAGTCTTCTTCTAGTACCTCAATTACATGTCAAAAGCTGTGGAATAAGAACAGACGTATCATCGGAAATACCTAGCCCGAAAATACTAAACATTTGAAATTCTAACAGTGTCTCTTTTCAACAACAGGATATTTATTCTCATTTAAATGGTTGCTAATGTTAAAATATTTGCATATTTTTGCGGTTAAAGTTTGCCAAAAACTGCCGACGTGACAGTGTTTGTAAACACACATCCATCAAATAATTAGAATAAAAGGGTAATTTTAAATTAATTTCAGCGTGGGATATTATAGTGTAACAGAAATCCAAAGAAACATTATCAAAATAAGACAGTTTCATGTACCCTAACAAGATAATCGTCACAAAAAGCCACAACCTGATTTACAATTTATGCATTGTGGAGAATTTTAAGGTTGCTCTGAAATTTGACACATAATTTTAATAACACTATTTTATTTGAAGTTAGGCAGTCACGTTTACTTATACGTTTATCCCTTTGGTGAAACAAGCAGATTTTCGTGACTTTTCTTCGTGAAAGTTTTGTAGGTTCGTTTTAGTGGGAAATATGAAAATAAGGGGGCATTTACCGTGGTTTATGTTATCCTTATAATTTAAATATCAAAATATCAGTCTAATGCGTTAGTTTACTGATCGGTACGCTTTGAAGGCCAACGCAGCGCCGACACCGGTAACTGGAACGAATCAGGGCGTTCAAAAAAATCGATAGGCATTTAGAAGAACCTAAACCAAAGCGACAACAAAATTTTACACTCTCAGCATCACTCCACAAAAGGACTAAATTTGCATAACAAAATGTAACAGCATGATTAAAAAGGGAAGTGAATGAAACTATTCAAAGCAATGTTTGGCGAGAAACCACACTGGCGATTTTCTTTTTCTTTGTAACCGACACTGATTTGATAAATGAAACGTTAATAACTTTCTTTGTATCGCAGTTGAGGAAATGTGTTTATTTAAGAGAAATTACGAATTTAACCAGAGAAGAATCCTACGCGGCAGCATTTGTTTTTCAAAGGCGACTCGTAAATGTTTTCGGTAAGTTGTTACTTTTTTAAGTGTATTTGGATTATGCTCAAGGAGAGAAACTGTCTAGGAAGGTGTATATCAAAATCGATTACCTTGGAAAACAGCCGCTTTGTTTAGACCACTGTTTTCTTACAGTCACGTTAGCCGCTGCAGCTTTCTTATATAACAACGTGTAACTCGCATATTTGAGAACCTTTAAATAATATGTTGGTCTCAGGACACAAGACCAAATTTGTACGCGCGCGGACATTCAAAACGTGACTTGTTGAGAAGGCGAGGGAATTACTTGATGTTATACGTACTGTAAGTTGACAGCATTTAACGTCAACGAAATATGCAAATATCAGCCACTCACTCTATGAGGCTGTTCCTTAAAATGCTCCTCATTTTGACAATGGAAACTTTCATGCCACTTTTCATGTCTTGAAAACGCTCTCCAATTTGACACATAATTTTAATATCAGAATTTTGGTTGAAGTTTATGACTTTTTCAGGACTTTTTGAAAAAAATCGCATGGTTTGAAAACTTAATGATTCGAACTGTACAAATTTCACCCAATACTTTTAATCTATCGATCGAATTTTGTACACAGCAAGCCTTTAAAACAAGAGGTAGCAAGCAACCTTGAACAATAATCCTGCCGATATACGTTTGATCAGAGGTTGATCAAGTCGACCGAAGATATAGACGAAAAATAAGAAAAAAATTGACGTGATTATATTTATCGTAACTTTTTGGTTCGCTTGGGCGGCGTATCATGCACGCGAGTTTGGTCGAGCCATGGCTCGTAGTTTGGCTAGAAAAAGTCGAGCCTTAATACCCAAGGCTCGACCATACCCAAATTCGCTCAAAACTGTTGAGATATCTTTCTAGTTACAGTAATCTGTCCGGCGTTCCAGTTATGTGATGCGCGCAAGAAGTTTAGTTTTGACACCTGGTAAGCCTCGAAGGCTCAATACACTATTTGCAAAACCTCTTTTCAATTTGAATCGCTTGACTTGAAAGTGACCATGATCTTAGTCGAATCAGGTCAGTGACGTGATATCGAGTAGACACGATTTCTGACTGGCAAATGTAAATTTGGGTACCAATTTCCATATATTAAAATTCAGCATAACACAATAGACCTCAGCACGAGACCCCGGGGAATAAACCCCACAAACTCTGTAGTTATTCCCCGGAGCCTCGAACTGAGGTCTATTGTTTTAGGTTGAATTTTAATGTAGTGAAATTGGTACACTGGATCCAAACCTACCACAGTTTCTGAACACTTTCTTTATTTCCCTGGTCATACTTCTTCTCACATGCAGTTCATTACAAGTTAGAAAGTCTTTCCCTTTAGAGAATCTATTCGTAAAACCAGGGAAGCCAAACGTATTATCCAAACTAATTAAAACTTCTTGACCCTCTTGGCTCAAATGAACCTCATGGCTTAGCTAACTTCTACATTTTGTCGGCTTTGCTTGGTTTTTAAATGTGAAACTGAACTAAGCCACAAGAATAATATTCAAGGCCTTTCCAAGAAGTGTGTGTTTCGGTCGCCATGTTGGTGTACAGATGCCTTGCATCCACATGTTGAAAGTATACTATCTTCCAAATATTCCTTCACCAATAACCACGTCAAGAGAAACTCTCTGCCCCGGCGAAGACATTTGCCTAGCTTTATTTTATACGGCGTGTTCTAATTAAGCTGGTATTGAAAGCAAGCAAACAGCTGCGCAAAGGAAGATCATGTTACTGCAAACCACTAATTCAACTCGTTTCTAGGTGCACACCAGGCGGATGTAATTTTCAATTATAATAAAAAGACGAAATCAATCATGCCTGTGAAAAAATGTAAATATGTTTTCTGCATAAGAGCCCAAAGCCATGTCACAGGGGCAGATCACCAAAATTTAGACAGAGGGGACCGAGAGCGCAATCTCGTCCCAGACCCACAACGTCAAGACTTGAATATCCTCGGACTAAAAAAGGAGATATCTAAATTAAAAGGGGCCCTCTGTTCTCTGCTCTTCCCCCCTACACATTGTAAATTTTTCCATGACTAAGAACAACTTACGCAAAAATGTGTATATTTTGTTAGCACGATTAGTAAAAGGAAAATCATACCACAATGGCATTAGCAAGAGTTCTTTGTATCCAAAGCATATTTCTTTACAGAATTACCCCTAAATCTTGTTACGTAAACTGTTCTCATAGCAACGGTGTGGCCTGTCAGCTCCCTTATCAAGTAAGTAGAGTCTTCATTGAACGAGTTAAGTTAGGACATGAAGGCGCAGATAACAAGCCTATACAGCCCACCATTAAAACTAATACCATAAAACTATCATTTAAAAAACCAGACGAAAATAACCTATTATTAATATTGCGTTATAGATCTTCAGTGTATAGAAAAGAAACACTCGTGAAAGTTCGGGAGAACTCGCACAAGCGGCGGAAACACTTGCTTGGGGCTTGTGTTCCCACAAGATGTTTCGTTCTCCTACAGACCCGTGTCTCTATTGAACAATTAGATTATGAGCTAAGAGAATGGAAAGTGAGTAGCGCAGCCAATCAAAGGACAGCATCCGTGACAGAACCCTAGTAGATTTATACTAAAACTCATGAGACACAAGAAATGTTTTGTCCATTTCTAAATTGAAGAGACGAAAGTGAGAGTTAAATGCTTTGCCCTTCAAGGACGCAACACGGTGACCCTCCCACTAATGTACGTATTGGTACAGAGGGCAGAAGGAGTTAAGCCCCGGCCAAACGATCGCAATATTTGAACGTAACATATCGCAACATTGTTGGGCACAACATGTTGCGCGCGTTTGGCCACCCTGTTGCGATGTGTTGCTACACGTTGGGTATCGAAAATCGAACTAGTGCGCATGCCCGGACGCAACATTGTTACACGAACCTGGCCAAACGACTACAACATCATGCAACGTCCACAAATGTTGCGTAAAAGTTTGACCATTTTCGAATTTGTGCCAACAACACCCAACATGTCGCAGCACGTTGAATTGCAACAGGGTGGCCAAATGCTTGCAACATGCTGTGCACAGCAATTTAATGTTGCAATATGTTGCGTTGAAATGTTTCGATCGTTTGGCCGAGACTTTTAATAAAATATAACGGTAACGGGAATGCCGCTAAACAAAAGGTCTAACGAGCAGTGCAATGACTATGCTCGCGCGTTGAAAAACATCGTGATATGGCCAAATTTTGGGTTCTCTGAAGAACGAGAACGACGACGGTTAACGATTTTATTAAATCCATTTTGAAATCACTGGTTATTCTTGCAATCTGATTGGCTCTCAGTGGTGCGATTTATTCATGAATCGCACTGTTTTTTGCTCCAAATCGCATCTTTTTCTCAGCCAATGAGAATGGGACAGTAAAACAAAACAAAACAACCAATCAGATTTCAATGTTAGCTTAAAGTAATCAATAAAATTTCAGCAAAAGGAAGGGCAAAAAGTCATTGTGTGTTGAATTTTGCAACTACTATGTTTGCCAAAACTTTTTTATTGTTTTTCCCAAAAAATTGACGAATTTAATTAATTACAGTTTCTGAATGACGATTATAAGCTCCTTCAGGTTAAAGACCTACTTTAATGGAAGTTTCCAACTTTCAGTGTTCATTTTGACGAATATTTTGGCTATTTTTTTTTCAACATCTGCTCAAGATCAGTAAATACCGAGTCCGGTAAAATATAAACAAAAGAAAACCACACAACAACAAATTCAGAGCCACCTCAAAAAGGTAGATTTTTCCAGGTTGCCGGTAGTTTCAAACAAAGCAACACAAGAGCTCAACTCCGTCGCTGATAAAAAACATAGTCAAAACTACAAAACAGTGAATGAACGAACGTCTTACGAAGCTGTACCAGTCCCGCCATCCTGAAAATATCTTGGAACAAATGGTACCGCAAGAACTTGACAAGTCTGACAAGGTCTTGAGTATTGAGTTCTACGCCGAGTTCACAAAAAGAAACGTAGA